CAGTACTCCTGGTGGATGTAGCCGGGGGTGGACAGCTGGTTGCACGCGGAGCGGCCGCCGTCGTTGGGGTCCACCCAGCCGCAGGAGCGGATGACGGGGTCCCAAGTAGGATAGCCCCGCTGGACGGAAAAACCTTAAGGTCAAGATTGACCGTGGTTCTCTAACGTCAAAAAAAGTAAAAGTTAAGTGTATCTACTATCCGAGGAAATATTGGAGGGGATGGGGGGGGGGGGTTAGATATTGACGATCGGCAATACTCTACTCGGCGTGGCACTAACTACGAGTATTGCTCGTGAAATAAAGTTCGAGTGTGATGTGTCTATGTAGTCTATGTAGTGCGTCCGTGTGCCTGATTGCTAGCACGATGTGTGAGTTAAACTAAGCCCAGGACATGGGAAAAGAAGGGCGTGGCAGCAGGGTGGAATGGGGCGAGGCACCTCCACGAGGTAGAGGTGCGGCGGGGGGCGCGGGTGGGGGTGGTGGGGGTGGCGCGCGAGCGGCGTATTGACAGTGTAGAATGGGTTGCCTAAGCAGCTCCCCGCAGGCGCTGACGGGCTCTCCATAGCCTGCAGCCAGTCCGCCGCCAAGCTTGTACTTGTGACTCTTTACGAATAAATCGAATTTCATGGCTCTTGCATACGGGATTATCCAGAAAGTACGTCTGTGATTCGTCGTTACGAACTTGTGAAGTTCAGCCTCTGCAAGCTCCCATAGCGCCTGACAGATAGGCAACATCATGACCGCAGTGCGTGCGTGTAGAGCGGGATGGCCTACCCGGAGTCTTGCAGGCGCCGAGCTCGTGTAATTTGCCGAATGAATTTACGTATTTTCTGGACGATCCCTTAAGGCATATTCCCTTTTAATCCTTCTAATGCGGACTTTCTGTTGATTTGGTGAGCCAGCCATTCCACTTTGCAAATGCAATAAAGTTGGCATATGCAAATTATCTGGCTAAGGTGTCTTTACGACGTCTGGCGCCTGTCTGTGTGTGCCACTACAATGTGAAACCTAGAGACTTGCAATGTTCAGGGATCTATCATCTGGATGACTCGTGGAAAGCAGAACGCCAACGACCAATGAATTAGGGAACGGAAGAATAGTGGTGTGTCGGAAATAATTATTAGATTCCCAAATTTCTTGCGGTTTACATCTGTTTTGTTGCATTTTTTAAAATCCCAAAATATGCCGGTGTTCTATGGGAACGAAGTACTACCCCGACCCCCAGATAGAAAAAAAAACTACGCTTCTGAGTTTGAATTACTCCCGGGGGTGCGCTATATTGAACCGTTTTGGAGCAGTTACGCCAGCGCCTGTGTACATGGATTATTGGCCTTCCGAAATAGAGGAGGTGGGTTGAATTTACGGTACAATATCGTAAAACATTATTATAGTATTGCCCCATCTATAAGAGAAGTCCATCTCCGGCGGCACGCTCGCCAGAAAACCGCAGTTACAGAAGTGTAGAGTGAGGTGTACGTACACCGCCTGCCTGCAGGCCTACCGAGGGACATTTTTATTTTGTAGGCCGGTTATTTTAGCTAAGTAGGTGTAAAAGGATGGGTAAATAAATCAGCCAAAGTTTCTTTTCTTGTTCTTTTTTTTTTCGACAGACGGCGATTATAGGTTTACTGATGAAAAGAGCAAATGTACGCTACGCCTATCCGCTTGCCTTCAAAGATCTACACGCCGCATTCAATTAAGGAATTTTATCGAGCGCACGGTCCTTTTCAACGCTGATCGTGCTTTCGTAAAAAATGCCATTAATTGAATTTAGCAACTTATAATTAAATATGAACATTCACGCTGAGACACATCAGTAAAACACATGCATACGTTGATCTACACGCTTCCGCTCAAGGCCGCAATTAAATAGAAGAAATGAAAAAAAGTAGTGGAGCATTTGACATAAGGCTCAGAGGCTCAAATGCCGCTTAAAAAATAATGGACGGAGTTCTGACAAAAAATAGTAAAATTAAAAGTATGTTAGTGATTGTACCGAGCTGTAAATTTCACCATCATGGTACGTTATCAGATGAGAAGCAAAAAGAACATTAAAACAAATATTTGCAGGCGTTTAGCCGAAAAAGTTCTTAAAAAGCGTAAAAGCGCTAGAGGTAATTTGTAATAATAAAACTAGATAAGGGATTTGTCATTCCATGTATTCTGTGATCGGTTATACATTCTACTCAATAACTCTCGACATTTTTGGTACATACATCTATTTAAAGACTACACTTGCTAAAGAGTTAAGTATCCAGCGAAAAAAGCACAATTTTCAGGAATATATTTTAGGAGTCGTGTATGGAAGTATTTACGAGGTACAGGAAATAAAAGTCAATACTATATTTGAGTATCACCAATTTACATTATTATTCATATCGCTAACAATCGCACACTGATGGCTGACAGTCAGTGGATATAATATACAAAAAATACAAAACAATTAACATTACAGTCATAGAACGAGAAAACAAAGGAGCTTCATTGCAACATCAAGAGCACAAAACGTCAGGGGGAAAATTGCCTTATTGACCCGTTAATGGTCTAAGCGGCCCCTTGATGTGGCAACTATAACTGGCCAGTGATCGAGAACGCGCATTTTGGAAGAGAATTGGCCTCGTAAACGTTCTAAAATCGAGAGAGAAACTATCATAATAATATTTACCAATAATTAAATTATAGAGCTAAGGAAGTAAGAACACGTAAATTTTGGAACTGGGCGCGCGTTCTTCCGGTTGCTGCCTGCAGCTGCTTGCAGTGGGGATGTGGTGGCCGCTGCCGGCAGTGAGGAGGTGGGTCCATCATGTTGAGCTCTTGTCCCATCGGGGACTCGGGGCGTGTCCTGGCAGGGCAGGAAGGTTGTCGTCTTTTCCCCTCTCGGCCGAATAGTCTGGGACAGGCGTGCGTGGGCGGGCGGCGGGCGCGGTCGGCCCAGTGCAGCTCGCGCGGGCCCCGCGACACGCTCCAGTGCCCCGGACAAGGCCACCGCACCGCTGCACGCCGGGCCCCCGCGCCGCCGGCCCCGCCGCTGATGGGACGCGGCGCCACGCCCTTCCCGTCGACGACGCGCACCTCTGCGTCGTCAAGACCGCCCCGGCCCCGGCCCCCTGCGCCCCACCACGACGTGGTCCATTCATTCATTAGTCCACCACAGCCTCACTCAAGCGGTGAAGTCATCTCGAGACGCTCAGCGCGGCGGACAGTCGAGTCGGGCGAAGCTCTGCCCGGCCTGGCTCTGCCCCTCGGGCCCGGCGGCCCTCAGCGCAGCGCCTAGCGCCGCATCCAGGCGGCGAGCGCGGCCAGGGGAGCGGCGAAGATGGCGGCCGGCACGTTGGGGCGCGGCGCCGAGTTGCACGCGTCCGAGTTGCAGATGGAGCAGTACTCCTGGTGGATGTAGCCGGGGGTGGACAGCTGGTTGCAGGCGGAGCGGCCGCCGTCGTTGGGGTCCACCCAGCCGCAGGAGCGGATGACCAGGGGGCGTCCGTCAACTGCTGACACAAGGCAAACGCGGTTAGGGCACTGCGGTGTCCGACCTCAAACTGTCAGTCGGTGGTGGGTGCGCGCCCGAGAGAGTAAGGCCTGCATGCACCCCAGAGAAAGTTTTAACTGAGAACTGAACTGTACAAATTGTACTTAACCGAAAGTCTGATTAATTATTGATTGAGGAGTCTGGCTGATTTTAACTGGATATGCTCGGATATACATGTACCATATGCAAAGCGGTTACGCTCAGTTAATCTCAGATATCTTTTCCTCTGGGGTGAGCGAAGTGGAGCGAAGAAGCGTTTTTTTGTCGAACACACTTGGTGTTACGCGGAGAGCAGAGCAGAGCAAAGCAAAGCTGAAGCAGTGGAGGTTCCCACGTTGTGGTTGACTCAGTCGTCGTCGCATGGGAGCGCGCCGTCATGTCGAGCGCTGAGCAAGGTTTTACGTTTGCACCGCGCACGCCCATTGAGCTTTTTGGAACATCGAGCACGACGAGCACACTTCGAGACGTCAGTGCAAGGACCCGAGTGTCGACTAAGGTGTCAGCGCGAAGGCCGAGTCCCCGGCACAGTCCTCCAAACGGGCGGCGCAAGTCTCGCCTCGCGTGTGACGAACAATCAATGGCTATTCCAAGCACGCGCACGCGGGCGCAGGTAGCTCCCCGTCGCACCGTCACACCGTCACACCAATCGGGAGCGCGAGGGACGTGTCTGCTGGACCACTCCCTTGGTCTGGACACGCAACTTACTAAGGAAAGAACCCCGGCATATTCAATGGAGCATAGAAAATGGGTTTTTAGACTGCCCCCAAGACTGTCCCTACCGGAGGGCAGAGTTCCCCCTCCTCGTCCTTTACCATCTAGTTCTAGTTTTTTTTTAAATATGACGCACTGTTAAATTCCTGCAAAGCAATACGCTTTGCAAATTGAGAAGGATTTGAATGCTTGGTAACTACGAAGCATTTACTTTTCAATTACAAAGCAATGCTTTTCAGAATGTAAAGCATTGCTTCTCAATTGCAAAGTATCGCTTTGTAATTGCTTCGTAGTTACAGTATATTATGAATCCGTCACAATTTTCAAATTGTCTGCAAAGCACTGCTTTGCAGTTATTTAACAATGTGGATTTTTATTTGACCACTCGATCTGATAGTTCGTATTGTTCGCGGGTCGGGTCGCCCACGTGGCTCGCCAGGTGAGTCAGGCCCACGTACACCTGTGTTGACTCAGAGCGTGAACCTCAACCTCCTACTCTATAGCAAATTATTTTTGTCAGATATGATGACAGAACTTTTAGTGATGCCTACCCCCTCCCCTTCCCCCACCCATCCTCTCCCCCTACCCTGACCTTAAAACCTCCATAGCAAAAACAAACGGATTTCGTCTCTTGTTGTAATAGAAAATGACTCTAAGTAAGTAGCAGCAGCAGCAGAGATTTCGTTGCCGCTCTGCTTTGGTTCATTCGTATCAACTGATTCTCCCCTGTCGCTACCAGACGGAGCCCTCGGGTGCTCGATGCCTGCGCTCGCCTTTGTCGGTCGGCACGGCCCCGTAAATCAAGTTTGAGACCCGCACGGCCCGTGTACGGCTGTAAACGTCCGGAGCGGCTCGGCCGAGCAAAGGGTCTTGATAACGCCGTACGTGCGGCTGCGCTGCTCCTGCTGCTACTCGCATGCGGCTGCCCGCGGCGACCTGCGACTGCTAGGCGGCGAGAGAGGAAGGAGGAGTGTCGGGCGTGCATCGTGCGTAGCGTGGAGGGCGCCCGGCAGGCAGGCAAGCCTGTCGCGCACAGCTGTACGGCGGGCGAGCCCACCCCGCAGGCTGAGAGGGGCCGGCGGCGGCGCGACCGACGCCGTGAGCGCGGGAGGACGTCCGCGCTGCATCTGTTCGGCGGTCGATCGTTACATTGTAACACTGGTTACTCTGCCAATTGAAGTGTGCGGCCTTCGACCTCGCACAAATACTTGAAGAGAAGCCGAACTATCGCGTCGATCTTTGTCCACCAAGCTGACCAGCGGCATGCACAAGCAAGCGGGCGCGCGCACCCACCACCGGGCTCGAAGAGATACTTACTGCGCTGCTTGACCTTCCTGCACACGGGGTAGCCGTGGTAGTAGGCGGGACCCTGGGCCGCCCGGTTGTCGCACTCGATCAAGGCGAAGCGGTTGGCCGTCCTGAAGGGATCGTCGCAGGCGTAGTCGTTCTGGGAGTCGCACGACCAGCAGCGCAGTGCCGCGGCTGAAACAGAAAACACAAGTCAGGAAAAGCAAAACTGGACGAGTTTGTCACACTTCGTCGTGCAGCTCCACACTCCACACACCTATGATTCACGCTGAGATTCACTCACAAAACAACGACCAAAAATATCGTTTTTCTAAAAAAGTATATTTTTTCTATCTTATCAGAGAGCGGGTACGTGAGCCTTTTCGTACAGCAGCACGTGACCGAGGCAGGCATTGAAAATACCGCAGCAGGTGAGGAACGTTTGTCGCCGCTGTGCTGTGGGCGGCCTTCACTATCAGCGTGCTCGGAGTCTCACAATGCATGACCGACGACAGACCAGCAGTCGGCTCCGTGTGAATCTTATAGACCGGTAAGGGGGTGGGGGGGCGTCGGGATCAGCAGCAGAATGCTCTCGCCTCCGACAATCACGCGCGAGGCGAGGATGGGCTGGAGCAGGGTGCCGCTCGAGTTATGTCACGGCACGTCGCGGCCAGGCGAGAGCTGTGTGTGTGTGTGTGTGTATGTGTGTGGTTACTTCTACTTGCTACACTGAGAGAAATGTTTCGTTGCAGCGATCAAAAAATGTTCGATCAGTCCGGATTAGTCATGGCCATCAAACTTTTAGTCACAGCAACTAAACTTTTGGTTACACCAACCGAAATTTCGGTTACAGCAACCGAAATTTCGGTTACAGCAACTAAAATTTTGATGCCTGTGACTAAGCCGGACTGACCGAACAAAATTTGGTCGTGGGTATCAAAATTTTGATGGCTGCAACGAAACATTTCTCTCAGTGTATGGATAATAAAACCCGACACCCAACAGCGCTGAGATGACTCATCCCCACCACACGGCACAGGCAGCGTGACGGCAGCCAGGGGTGCGGCGGGCGCGGTGCAGACCCACAACACTCCGGAGGAGGGGAGCGCGGGTGGGGAGGGGGGGGGGGTAGAAGAGCAGGGCGCTCCTGGGCGGACAGGTGGAGAGCCACCTTGGCCGTCAGCCTGTTGCTCGTCCCAGTGCTGCCACCGTGCACGCCCGTTGCAGAGTTACACGCACGCACGTCAGTCTGCACCGTCTACCGTGCAAATTCCTTTTTTCTTTTTTTGAAGAATTCACTTTTATTTGATTTTGTATGCGGGAACGAGTGGCTATCTTTCCTCATCACGTAAGCCTGCGGTTTTAACAGCGATCTCGTCGTCGTGAGATGGGACCTCAACAACAACAACAACAACAACAACAACAACAACAACAACAACAACAACAACAACAACAACAAAAACAAAAACAAAAACAACAACAACAACAACGCCACGACAAAGACCGCTTTGATCGGCGGGTGTGCGCTGCGCCACACCACGTCCACCTCGCTAATAGGTCGCAGGCGCGCTCGTCGGCTGCAAACACTTTTACGTCCACATCCTACCCTACCGCGTCACACTCTTCGCCCTCTGGACACCTTCAGGAGCAGGTGACTTTGATACCCGAAACCGGAAGTGAATCCGCTTCCTCAGGCGGCCCGGGACCTCTTTCTTTTTTTTTCACTCCTGCGCCCGGTACGCGTCAGTGGGCACGCGGCCCTTGAGAGTGGTTACGTGACTGCTCAGGTAAGAAAGGTGACGCTCCGGTAACGCTCGGCCAGGGCCGCAGTATACCCCGCGTCCGCAGAGACTCTCGGGGTGGGAGTATTGGCACCTGGCCGGCACCACCAGCGCCGCCCTCCTCCTGCTGCTTTGGGCCCTTTGGGTGCCCCCCCCCCCCCCCCAACTGCAGCACGCGGCCGCACGCGGCAGCACGCCCGCGACCCACTTTCCCTCCAGCCACGCCGCGCCACGCCGCGATACGCCGCAATGTTTACCTGCACTGGAGGGGGCCCCGCCGGCCGCGCCCGTCGCGCCCCGCGCCCTGGAGTACCTCGAGTACGACCCCACCGCCGAGGCTGCCACACAGGTCCGCTACATCCTTTATACTATGCCAGGTGCGGCTGTTGCCCCGTCGACGGGTACCTATCGTATCTGCCCATAGTGCCATCCTGCGCGGAAGAATAGGCAACCCGCCCGCACGCGTGCACGCTGTGCGGTCTAACAACAGAAGTGAGCCCTGCGCACACCAGAGATCTTCTGAGACCTAAGGGCAGGCTTGCCTACCCGACGGGTAACACTGCTGAGCCCTGCCAAACGGTATAAACCCGCAGTCGCTTCCGGCCTCATACAAGGTGGCTGATTTACGACGCGCAATTCTGTAGTTATGCTGTACCACATGTACGAGTGCGGGCGGGTTCCCTACCCTACTCGCTCGGCTCGTACGGCGCCGTGGGCAGGGGCGATAGGCAAGCCCGCCCGCACTCGTGCGTGTGGTACAGTATACCTTACAGTGCAGTGTAGTGTACCTACAGAAGTGCGCGGTGTGAATCAGCCACCTGGTATACTGAAAACCCAGTTTATGACCATGTATGTAGGAGTTACTGAATACCTTCACAGGTACAACCCTACCCTGTGTGCCGAAGTTTGTACTGTCACGGAGAGCATAACAACTATTTTCTTCCTCCGTGTACCAGTGCAGAGTGTCGCCATGTCGAGCTGCTTCGAGCTGCCCCTAGTCGGGGTGAGCCGGTACGGTGGCTAGTGACTTGAATGGCAGACGGAGCTCCTGCAACGGCCTGGAATGCCTTCGACTCCAGCGGAGCTACAGGCGGCTCCAGGCCCTGTCCTAGTGCCGCGCCGGGCGGACGGACAGGCGCCGAACAGGCGTGCAGACCGCGCAGTCGACTGGACGCGAACCACGGACAGCGGAGCGATGTAGGTGCAGCGCAGTGCAGAGGTGAAGCCGCCGGAGGAGGAGGAGGTTAGGAGGGGGGGGCGAATCTGGTTTCAACCGGCTTTCCTGCGAGCAGCGGGAGAGAGGTCTTTCTCCTGGACGAGAGTTCCGGCGGCGACGCCTCCGCCTTCTATATTCAAGCCTTTCCTTCCGCGAGGAGGACGTCTTCCTCGCGCCCCTCGACGTCACCCTCGAGTCCGCGGACGTCCTCGGCGAGGAGAGCCGGTCCCAAGGTCGCGCCGCGGCCGCGCTGCGTGCCGCCGCTGTTACCGCCGCACCGAGCTCAATTCTCACAACCATGAAAGAAAGCACTCGCGAGCACGACCAAGGCGAGCGCCCCCCCCCCCACACACACACAAACCAGCAACAACAACAGCAAACGTGTGAAAGAATGGTCTGCTGCCCATGGTGCGCGCGCCCGTCGAGGTGTTCCCGCCATCGTGGCTCTGGCATTTGTGCACTCCCTCAGTGACCTGCCAGAGCGGCCGAGTAGAGCGCCCGGTCCGAGAGCTGTCCGCTCGACCTCTCGACGCGCAGATCCGCTCCTGGCGGCCCTCCAAGTGTGACAGCGGGGCGGTGCGGTGTGGGGCGGAGTGGGGTGGGGCTGGGCGGAGAGAGGTACCCAGCGCGCCGGCTCTAGGCTAGGGCAGGGGCTAGGGGCTGTTGTAAGGGTCAAAAGGTCAGCCTCGTGCGACGCCTGAAAGTAGGCAACGTGCGCCTGTACATAGGCGACCCCCTCCACACCACCCCGCCCGCCCCCCTGGCTATGGCCGCAGGCCGGCTAGCTGGCTAGCTGGCTGGTTAGAATACGAGTTGGTGTCATCGTCAACCACCACGCCACGTCAGCGAGAGGGGCAGGCTGGCGGATCTCACAGGATTGTGTGAGGGAGGAGTGTGGCGCCCCGAACGCTCCGCGGAACGATCCCCCCCGCACGGGACGAGCGCAAGACGGCGCAGCCAGCGCGACGCGACTTTAGACGCGGCAGTCCGTGCGAGGTCGTATGAAAAGTTTTCTGACAGCAGCGGCCGCGCACCAGCATTCAGCGAAAACAAAGGACTTTTGCACGGCGACCGCTGGGACTTCCCTCGTCGCACCGCCCGACTTTTGCACGGCGACCGCTGGGACTTCCCTCGTCGCACCGCCCGCCGGCCCGCGGCCTCGACGATGTGCGGGCGGTGTGTGTTGTGTGTGTGTGTGTGTGTGTGTGTGTGTGTGTGTGTGTGTGTGTGTGTGTGTGTGTGTGTGTGTGTCTTGTGTGCGTGTGTTCGTGTACGCGTGTGAGTGCCTCGTCCGCGCTACTGCCCTTGAGCGAGGGTGGGCGGGGTCCTGTTTGGGGGCGCGGCGGCCTGCAGGCAAGGGCACAGGGCGTCTCTCGGCGTTACTGTGCCGGTTCTGGTCGGATTAGCATGGCAAGGGAAAGGAGTGGAATGTTTGATCGGTTGTTTAGCTTCCGCCTTCGGCTGTAGTAAGTCCGCGAGTAAGTCGGGTCCCCCCTGAAGGAGAGGCGCCTAGCGCCAGGGGTGGTCGGTCAGGGGGCACGGCCAGCACGGCACGGCGTGAGAGGGAGGACGCAAAAACTTGTACTTGTACTTGACGTACGAAACACTTTTCTAACGATGTGGACGGTCGCTGCGTCACGTTTCGGCCCCTCCTCTCTCCCCACCTTGTCCGACGCTGGCTATCGCTGGTAACGCCGCGCGACCGTGGCGGCCGCACACTGTTTGGTCTTGCAGCGCCAACAGGGCGTTCTTAAGTGACCTGGCCCCCACTGGGTCTGTGCACCTTGCACACGACCGTCACTTGAGCGATTTGCGAAACGTTTCTCCAAACAAAATGAACGATACCACTCCCCCTCCAAGGACACCTTGAAGAAACCAGGGGCGTGCGGGGCATTTGACCGGACAAAAACCAAACCGGAGACCAAAAAAAAATAAAAAATAAGAAGGAGATGAGAGCCGGGCGGTTGCCGAATGTCGGCGAGACGGACAGGCAGGAGGGGAGTGAAAACCTATATGGAGAATGGGACGGGTACGGGAGGGTTCGGGCTCAGTGGCAGCGGCAGGTAGGCGAAGCCTGGAGCCTGGCCCAGGGTGACACCTTGCCCGAACAGAATCAGACTGGGTGCTGGGCGCTTATTACGATTTGGATTCGTGCTGCGCTCTATCGATTGGCTGGCTCCGTGCTGCAGTGCTCGCTG